GGCTGACAATCATTGCTCCCATTGGACAAAAAAAGGACGGGGGCGGGACACAGATCCAGAAGAAAACAAGGAAGTCCTGCATGCTGCGGTTCTGATGCGCACATTTTTGCTGATAGTACAACTGCAATAGCATTTAAAATGTCAGAAGCAGCTAATTTAATGGTGGTTCCGTGATGATATTCTAATTTTGGAGCGGCGTCAGTAAATGTGTCCCGCAACCCAAAGGAGAAGAGGTGCTCTGCGTGTTCTGACCCACAACATGCTGGCAGCAGAGCTGCTAACAGGAGACGATGAAACAGGTGTGTTTTCAGTTTATTTAGCTCAGCAACGTTGGCCTGTGAAGTCCAAAAAGGTGCATGTTTAATGCAGGTGGTTCGGTTAGAGTCCGGTCTGTATTCACACCAGAAGCAAACTGAAGTGAACCGAACCAGTTTGTTTGGAAGCGGACCGAGACCACCTCAAAAAGCAGGTCTCGGTCCGGTTGTTTGATCCGCACCAGAGTTCACATGAGTGTATTCAGACCTGCACAAAAGGTCCGGACCAACGCTGGAAACGAACTCTGGTTCATTTAAAGTGGAGCAAATTATCAGGTCTGAACACGACCTAAGTTACCAGTAGTCTTATATGGACTTTATCTGGACTTTTTAARCTGCCCTAGCATTATGTGTCATTAGGTGTTGCCGTAGCTGCTACTGCTAGCATCTTAACATATAAAACAATATCAGAACAAACACTCACCCTGGAGAAGATCAGACAATAATCATCATCACTGYCTCTCTACAACAGTTTCCTCCATAGATATTTTACTTCYTGCCCTCAATCTTCAAAACCATGTGACTAAAACCCAGCTATTGCTTCTCACGCTCATTCACAAGTGTAATTCCCTAATAACAAAAGGAAAATGAAACAAAACTAAAGCAAATACACTGGCCTCTAAATGACAGTCTGGGCCTGCTTTGTGAATTTCTATGTGGCTGAAAAGTTTACAAGGAAGTTTTCATGTCATTTCACGTGTCCTTGCAAATAAGATCACAAATAGACAAGTAGGAATCCATTAAATCTAAGACTAATCTTATCTCTGATGAATAATTGTGATAAATATTGTGATTTTAATGGCAGAGTCCAAACGCAGCAGTAAGATGATGATCTGAGCTTGCTTTGAAGCACAATACTTGAGTTGTATGTGTGCTGCAGATGATGTGAGGTTGTTTTTATTTATTTATTGATCCAGTTCCCTTACGAGTAAGAAACTAAAAGAAAATCTAATTAACTTCATCAATCCTTCCACCCTTGATGTGTTGAGAAGTGTAGAATACTTCTTACTTCTTGCAATCAAGACAAATGACACTACATTTCCAACATAWAATGCAATCACCGTGGAGCATTGCATGTTCGGGTGCATGGAGCACATTAAAGAAAAAAGCCTTAAATAATGCATCTTCTCTCCCATAGAAGTAAAAAAAATAATCCAGCTAGAAACTTTCAGGCCAATTCATCTATACGTCTGGTTTCAGACCGGCAGTGTGCCAGTGGCAATCATTTACTAACTCATGCTGGTGTTGTGTGTGAGCGCGCAACCAGAAACAGTGAGAAGACTGAAGGCAGTTTTTGGACATAGGCTGCAGCCACCACAGTTTTAAAACTGACCTGAGGCTGACCTAGTTACCTCGCTTCACCCTTCAACGGTTAAGAAAGAGGAAGGAAGGTGAGAGGGAGGTTACGCTGAGAGAGGGTAGTGGAATGAAAGGGAGAAAAAGAAGAATACAAAAAGCAAGTGAAAGCTCAAGTGACAGAGCAGGGTGAAAAAAGAAAAAAAGACAAGAGCGAGGACAGATTATTGAGAAGATATAAAAAAGAAAAAGAGACTCTTATAGGGTGCTCCTTCCTTCCTCTTGGACCATTCCCGTCTGAGTTTAACCTTATTTAACCTGCAGTATGTGTAGAAGTCTGCGCTTCTTAGACCAGAAGGGTTTCATTATCTGAACAAGCACACAGACACACAGACGAGGTTCCCTACCTCGGTAATCTGCTGCAGGTGTGTTAAGAGAAGCCACTTGTTTTGTAGTGGTGGACCCTGCAGGCTTCTATACGAGTCCTAATATACAGTTGCGCTCGAAAATCTGCATACCCTGACAAGAATTTGTAACTTTTTTGGCCATTTTTCAGAGAATATAAATGATAACACAAAACTTTTCTTTAACTCGTGGTTAGTGGTTAGGTGAAGCTGTTTATTATGAAACAATTGTGTTTGCCCTTTTTACATCATAATGAGAACAGAAAATACCCAATAACCCTGATTAAAAATATATATACCCTAGTTTATTATTGTAAAGTGCCTCATATAGCATCAATGATGGCTTGAAGTCTTTTGTAGTAGTTGTGGACAAGACATTTTATTTTTTCACCAGATAAAACTGACCATTCTTCTTGGCAAAATGTCTCCAGTTCCTGTAAATTCTTGGATTGTCTTGCATGAACTGCACATTTGAGGTCTCCCCAAAGTGGCACCAAGGTCAGGAGACCGAGAACTTCACTTTTCTCTGCTGTAAATTGTAAAATGGTAAATCATCTGAACTTATAGAGAGCTTTTGCCATCAATTCTGGCCAAATTCCCTGTGCCTGTGTAGCTCAAACATCCCCAAATCATCAGAGACCCACCTCCGTGTTTCACAGCAGGGATGGGTCACTTTTCTCATGGCCATCGTTGACTCCTCTCCAAATGTATCGTTGAAGCTTGTGGCCCAAAAAAAACGTTCTTAACTCTGTTCCAGARGTTTTGAGGTTTGGCTTGGTGTGGTTTGGTATATTGTAGGTGGACTGCTTTGTGGCATTAGGGTCTCAACACAGCTGATTGGTATTCTTAATTGCTCAGATTTGTTTTATATTATTTTCCTGTTTTATAAAGTTCAACTTCTACAAATTCTATAATAATTATTTTGCTTTCCCCATGGCTTGGAATCCAAGAACATCAAAGCAAGACTGGATGAAAGATGTCATGACCCTCAAAACAGATCAAAGGTGGGAATGGGTCCATTGAGGAGCCATTTACACCTGTGTGTATATTATCACGTCAAAACTCCCAGGCTATGTATATTTTTGATCAGGGTCATTTGGGTGTTTTCTGTGTTCATTATGATGTAAAAGCAAATGTCTGATAATAAATAGCTTCACCACAAGTAACAGAAAAGCTTTCGTGTTATTATTCATATTTTTTTGAAAAATGCCTGAATAAACTGCCCATAACCAACAAATATGTACAAAAACAAAGTCTCATCAAGAACATGCAGAGCAGCTTAAATACTATAGCATACTACTGTAATATTACAGGACTCAGTGTGGAGAAACAAAAACTTCAGCTCCATACATTTTTTGTAAACAAATACAAGTACAGAATATTAAATTGTACACGTAAGCTTTTTTTTAACTATTTCATATTAAATGTGAGTCATTGCGGCCTTCAGTTCCTTTGAAATAAGAGCTTTAAACATGGCTGTCACATCTGTGCAGAGGAATGTTTGACCTGGTCTGATCTGTACGTACCATAGCAGCTGTATGTCCAAGCGTCCCAGCAGGCAGTGCGGTGGCACTCAAAGTGGTGCTGACACTGTTGGGGTGCCGTATGCGGACAGCTGCCCCGGCCACGATGGCAGGAGGAGTGCCGATGGCTGCTGGTTTGACTCCCTGCTGCAGGGGCTGGGTCAGGGACTGCTGACTGTTCAGCAAAGACAGCCTGAGGGCCGGGAGGCTTTTCTGTGGAGGAGAGGCCAAGATTCATAGTGAAAAACAATAACTACAAACATATAACAAAGCACCAAGCACAGCTGTAATCACACACCTAACTGCTGGATTCACTGGTTAATTACCATTAACAAACAAAGCTAAAAAGGAATGACCCAACCTGTTTGTCCTAAAGTGATTCATGTTGATAAAACAATAAAAAGTTAATTCGCAGATTGCTGATGATCGACTCTCTTGGACCTAATAATTACCGTTGTTCAATCCAGACCATTTCAGGGACAATTAAGTCTACAAGACAACTTGTGTTTTTCAGCCAGGTTAGGGAGTAGCATAGTAAAAAGGTTAGGCAGATAGTAAGGAAATACGTTTAGAGGTCAAATTCAAAAGTAGCTAATGAGTCCAGTAAACTAAATTCTAGGGTTCCCATTGTTTATATTTCATGAGGGAGATAAGTTTAGTGTTAGAATAAAGAGCCAATATTTAAAATGGATCAAAGGAAGTTTAGTCATGAGGGTAAGCCTCTGAATGAACCACTGTCACTGCCAGAGTAAGAGAAGCAGGAGCTTCACCTTGAGAAATGGGACCAGGTAAGGCTGCGGAGATGATTTGAGTTCAGTCTGCAGCCGGCTGGTGAACTCCTCTGGTTCAATCTTGGCATCCTGTCAAGGAAAATAAAGAAATTAAAAAGAAGTAAGGACTATGACGACTAGAACACAATATGATAAAATCCCCTCAGTGGCTGAGATTATAATCCATTCGATTCCCCACCGTGGGACCTCAGGTTACACCTTAATGTGTAACTGTGTTTAAACTGAAAATTATGGCACAGAAAACAAGATTTTGGAAAAAGTTTCATGCTGCCATCTACAGGTTGAAAATATTTATTACAAAAAAAAACAACAGGGATTAAAGTTGACCTCCTCCAACATGTTACAGTCTGTTACACATCAAGCTGTCAGTCCGATTGTTTTTGCCTGAAGAAAAAGATGCTGATACCAAAGATGTTTTGTTAAAAAATATAATGTGACTAAGATCTGTGCCAACCAGGTACCACACCTGTGTCATATTTGTTGAATACGAACAACGCTTATTCATTTAGCTGTTTAAAACTCACCAGCAGGTCTTGAACCAGAGCCTTAACGTTCTTAGAAGTCTCAGGAGAGGGAGAGTTGTGAGACGCCAGTTTGATAAGTGTGGCTAGGAAATTCTTACACTTCTTCACGTTCTCTTGCATTTCCTATGAAATACAATTTTTATTATTTTTTACCATCTTTTGCAAAAACAAACATACAAACAAGAAAAATAAAGCTTGAGATCTCAATAAATAAGACAGATTGCTTCAGTGTTCAGGGGCTCTTTCTGTATCTATATGTAAATCCACATGCTCCTGATTGAACAATCATGAGTTTATGAGTCGTTGCTTCTACGTGTGTCCTTGGGTATCAACCAGTGTGAAAGCATGATTGTGAAATAAGTGTGAATGTGTGTGGGCATGTGTGAGACTCTCTGTCCATGCCCAGCTGTGTGGCATAGTGGAGCAGTGGGTATGGGGAGGGGCAGCCTGAACTTTTGAAACGGCCAGCCTCATGGCAGCTGAACCCTTCAGGGTTGTGGGAGATGGCGGAGGGGAAGTGGCGGGTCGGTGGAGGGAACAAACCTGGGACACGACTGGAGCTCCAGGGGCCGCTGTGACGCTTGTCGGTGCCGGCTGCACTGGCTGGGGGGTAGGCTGGGCGGGGCCCTGGGGGGCCATAACCACTGGGGCCTGCTGTGGAGTCGTCACTGCCACGGTTGGTGCCATGGGGCCCTTCTGGGAAAGCAAAGAAGAGACAGAGAGATAAACAGGACATGACGCTTCGCTAGCAGCAAGGCCACAGAGAACAGGAGGCAGGCGCCACAGCGCTCCTGTCACATCTGCTCTCTTGACTTCTGTGGACATCTTTTAACAGACAAGGAGGGGAGAGGGGAGGAAGTGTCAAGCAAGAGGCTGGGGAACACACGAGCCCATAAAAGCTATTCTTTAAAGTCCCTTGCCTGGAAGCGAAAGCTTTATCTCCCAACAAACATTTGTAAATAAGTAACTCAAAACGTGCTATTTTTTACTGATAATATGTGCAATGGTGAACGACAAGAAAATAAACATTTTCTGCTCATCACATGAGTTGCCGTCAGCGGTTTCTCACTTTAAAGCCGTCATCACCTCTTTGCAGATCTCTTGGGCTCTGCTCATTTTTGGAAATAAAATACATTTAACGTGATAGTACTATAAGTGGACAGGTGTGAATGCAAACAAAATTCAGGGCCCACATAAATGTCTGATCCCTCAGATCACATCTAGACTGAGGCCACATTAACACCTTCATATGTGATTCAGACCTACACTTTTACTTCTTTTCCTTTATTCTTTTTATTAAGTAAAGATAGTCTCATTTTGAATAAATGTTCATAAAACATGGCTTCATCAACTGAAAAAAACAACAACAATTATAAACTTTCTTTTTGTTTGACAGAAACGAGCTGTAAGAATTATTACAAGAAAACACTACAGTCACCCATCAAATACATTGTTTTGTCAGTTGAAATTATTGAAATTCTAGGAGTTGGTTGATTATAATATTTTACAGGTTATGTATAAGGCTCACAAATGTATATTACCTTTAAACAACCAATTAAATTTTGTTAAGAGAGAAAGTTGTTATAATCTAAAATGGGTAGAGATGTTTGTGAAACCTGGATTTCGAACTAGTTTGAGGGAGCGGTGTACTTCAATACAAGGAAGACTATGGAACAAGCTGGAAAGTGATGTCAAAAATGCCAGATCAATGTTTATGTTTAAGAGAATGATAAAAGTCACTTTGTTAAAGAAATATGAAACAATATAATGTGTATTCATACGAATTGTTGTTCGACAAGGATCTGAGGTTGTTTTTGTTTAGTTTTTCTTGTTTGTAGATTATTATTGTTTAAAATATTAATTTTGGGAGGAAAAAGGCGCAGATACTATAAGATTTTTTTTCTTCTTTCTGCCACCTTTCATTTTATTTGTGATTTGTATTTTCATTGTATATAAATTTGTTTTGTTATTTTTAAAGAAATTAATAAAGTTTAAAAAGATAGGCCAAAGAATACTAAATACTGATGTAGGTGTTCAACGTAATCTTTAGTGCACATATCACTGTTTCATTTTTCATTAGCTTCCAGAAATGCTCTACGAATAAAACTTGAACGGTGCGTGTAAAGAATGTCATCTCACAGGGCGGAGTGCAGGACAGGAGGAAGAGGAAGAAGAAGAGGAGGAAGAGGTCTGGAGGGCAGGGCTGGAAGGAGTGGGAGAGGGAGACGGTGCCATCTTGGCCGGGGTCAAAGAACACTGCCTGGTGGTCTGAGAGGTCACAGGACACTGCTGAAAAGACAAGAGAGCAACAGGATCAGAAAAGAGCAGCGGCATGCCTTGCAGACACATATGGAAAGGTCACGACAGCAGAAAAGAAGAACGTGTCAGCATGTTGGAGGTGGTAAAAGTTGAAGCACAGGAAAGTATAGATGGGCAAGTAGCAGAGGGTCATGGTGTTTTTCCATTACTGCTTTAAATATAATAGCAGAAAACAGACCTGCAGCTTATAGCCACAGACTAACTACTAGCTATATAGAAGAATTGTGTCTTGTTCATGTTTTGTGTACATGTAAAATATAAAGAATTAAAGAAGAAGAAAAAAGAGTAATTTGAATATGATAATCATGATGAAACTACATGATTTAACTGGTAGCAAATTGTCTAAATTCATTACATTAAATTGATTTATTTAAAGTCTGAGGAATACTAGCATTTACCATAAAATTATTAGTTTGTGAAGACTGGATAAAGATGCATAACTCTCAATACCCAGAAACTGGGGCTAGGCAATACAACAATGATATGTACTGTATATATTGCGATTGATGATCAATATCAATAGGAAATATGGGATAAAATGTTGATAATTTCATTGAACTCCGATCCAAAACTGCACAGCATTCTGGGGTTTGTAGGCAGAGGAAAGGCTTTAGCTGCTCGACCTCTCACTGCCTCCACGGTGGCATCCGCTAACTCTCTCACTCTTTGGTAAGCTAACAACCTGCTGAGTAACCTGTGCAGTAGCAGTTTCATGTTTGACCACCGTGACGCAGAAATGTTAGTTAGTTAGTTAGTTAGTTAGTTAGTTAGTTAGTTAGTTAGTTAGTTAGTTAGTTAGTTAGTTAGTTAGTTAGTTAGTTAGTTAG